TACACTTCCGATTATTCTAGCATGTGCTATTCCATGATGTGTAAGAGACCCAATTCTACATTGTGCTATAGTTATACCGCTGCTACCGGAACCACGTGTGGAAACCAAAAGGTAATACATTAATATCATAATTTGTTTAGAATTTTATATTGCCGGTGCAAGTTAACCGTTTTGCAATATTTTAAAATTGTTAATAAATTAAATTATTGAGCATGTGCGTCTGTTCGGTTATTTTTCATTCTTGAACAGGTAAATAGTTATGTAATTATTTTCCATTATTAAAGTGTACATCAATATGATTTAAACTTTTGTTAAGAACCCTACAATTAACATTTTCAAAGCATTTACCATAAAAAATAGTATATACCTGATTTTGTATCATCTGCTTGACTCTTTTATGGGTCGGCAGAAAGAGCGGATTGGTAGAGTGGTTAACACTGCGACCTGCCACGCAAGCGGTCGGGGTTCAATCCCCGAAGTCGTCGTACGCATAGAATATTCAGAGAAAGTGTTTTTCTCCTGCCCACACAACTCCAACGACCCAGGTGGAGAAAAAATGGTCTGGGGTGGATGTTGTGGTATCTCTGCTGTAGCATTCAAGTGAGGTTGCACTATAAATGATATCGTTGGAAGCACGTTCCCAATGCAAAAAGAACACAATACATTTCCAGCACACACGCAGTTATACACACATAGGGGGATATTAGCCAGGTGGCATAGGACTAGTAGTTAGCGCCTGTTAAGGCACCTTCCGCGAATTCCTCAAAATAGTATTATTGTATGTATATGCTAATTGTATTGATTGTGTTAAGTGTATATCTATGTACTGTAACGCGCTTTAGAGCCGCTTATCCTAGCTAGATAGGGCGCTATATCAAATGTTGTTTATTACTATTTTTATTAATAAAGGCGTTCTTTCCAAATAAAACAATATTAACATTTTATCTGAGATGGAGATCTTCTGTAATTGTAGAAATTCTCGCGTGTGTAAATGTTCGCCTTGACAATCTTTAAACTGATCGTAGTGCGAACATTTTCGCATTGATGGCACGACTCCGACTCCATTGACTTTGATTTTTTTTTGATTTTTTATTATTTTGTACAGTCAAACGTTACATAAGGACTCAATGCTTAAAACATATATACAGGTCTGTAATTCTTAGCCATTTTCTAGCATTTTTCTTAAAAGCAACTCAATTTTACAGCGTATTAATTTCACGGTTATTTGTAGTTCCTTCAGAAATATATAATAATAATATTATACAACATTTGATGAATATTTTTCAAAAACCGAGACAGCTTCCTGGAAACAATCCATATCGCTTTGTCGCGAAGACTTTCGATACCACACCTTTGCCTGTTGCGTTGAGCGTGCACTCAAGCGAAAAATAAAATCCCAAAAGTCCTTTCAATTGGTTATTGTTCCGCTCTGCTTGACGTTCAGCTTTAAATGAATAGCGGTAAGGACTTTTTTCACGTTGTCGTATTTATTCCTGGATGGAACTGCGGATAGTGAAATCGGCATGGTGTTTTACCCGGGTAGCACTCTAAAGTTGAGGGGGACGACGGGCGTGACCAGAGAGTTGTATCTTTGAACAAGATTCTTTACTCCGCTTGTTCTAGTCTAATCAACTGTAAATGAGTACGTGGTTTGGCAGTGCTGGAATTGTTAAATGCTAGCGGTGAGCGTTTAAATGGCAGTACCGGCTGTATACTCCCCAGGGAATTGAGAAAGATATTGGCTGGTTACAATGCCTCATAACCACGAATACTACTTTGAGAACCGCTTTGAGACGACCTACTAACTAGGTTGTTGATAAAGCGGTGTATAAGAACCAGGAATTATTTTCGATTACTGTTACTATTATTATTATTAAGGAAGAAAATATACACTGACAAACCGCACAAAAGCACTGAAATAGCCTTCGTTTTGATAGTACGCTAAATCAAATAAACCAAGACTTTCAGTGTGTACATTTCTGAACTCTTTTCCCCAATGGGTGTTCTGGTAGAACGAGATAAAAGACCTACACCAAGCAGGACAATTGACCTACATGAATCATCTCAACCGGAAATTCAGGTATTAATTAAGTATAAATTAGTATATGTTTTATTTAAATTGATGATAATGGAGCGTTCTCGTTCTGTTTCAGTGGTGTTTCCAAAGCTCCTGTATTGCAAACTCCTCGGCGCCCGTCGTCAGTGGTATGTATGCCTATATTCTTTTGTAGTAGCCTTCCTTTCTGAAACATCTTGAGGTCGGAGTTGCAGAGATATTTTTGTATATATATGTCAACAGTTCTTGTGTAACTTTTTAGATGGGATCACGTTGGCTAAGTGGTTAAGGCATCTGCTATGACCGCCTTACGATTCCTACCTGGGAAATACGCTATTTCATTATGCACTATGAAGGTCAATATATTTTTCATTATGCCTATTAGTGTGCCTTGTGATTGTGATGTCATTGCCAGTTTTTCAATGAGAATTTTCAAAAACCGTGACAGCATCCTGGAAAACCAATCCATATCAGCACTTTTATATCATATTTTGATTTAAGAGCTCATCGTAAACAAACTTAACATAAACATGTTTCAAATGAAACTTGTAGTCAATTCACTTAAAGGTGAGAGAAGATATTCTCACTGCTCTTTTTATCGGTTTAGGTTGCGCAATCATTCACCCTTGTCTCAATAACAAATGTAACTGCTGTTCAAATTTTTGTCACAGTGATATCTGCCAACAATAAAAATAACGTTGTCATTTTCATTTCGTAAGCAAACTATTTGTTTAAAAAGGCATAAGTCTTGTCCTTGCTTTAGTTGTAAATTTATTTTTTTAAATGATTTTTTGTTATTTAAATTTGTTTGTCCCCCTCGAATGACTCCACAAGAATAAACATTACGAAAATAAGAACTGTCAGTATGGTTTGGATCCCTCAGAATCTGGGACAGCAATATAATTAACACTTTCCAAGTGATTGTTGCTTCACTTGGTTACGGCCTGTATTATATATCAGGCTTTTGGGACTTTGAGCTTTATAAATTTCAACGAACAACTTCGGGAATTTACTGTTTTAGGTTTTGTACTTTTCCTTCTTCTTCATCTTTTAGATGTTTGTTAGGCGTTTGATTTTCCATTCGGTCAGGAAACAATGTTTTTAATAGGAATTTTGTCCCTTGCTATCTTTTCTGATCAATATGTCGAGCTGACCATTGAACTTTCAGATACGTGTCCCTATGGTGACAATCCCGGCATTGTGTACACAGCTGGCTCCGATTCCTACACTTGCGCTACGCTGTTCCAGGCTTTCAGTAAAGGCCTTAATTGTCCTATCTTCCTAACGCGTTGCTGTGCGACATGTGAGGCTGCTTATACGTCAATACCTGGTAAGTATCGTACGGAGTTTACATGGGGAGATTTATAAAATCGATACCTGTTATGTCTCATGTGTTACTTAATTATCATGCCTGACAGGTAACACGACATGTGTAACTCAGATCATGTTTGACTGATAACACGATATGTGTAACTAAAATCATGTCTGACTGATAACACGACATGGGTAGCATAAATCATGTCTGACTGATAACTCGACATGTGTAACTAAGATCATGCCTTACTGATAACACGACATGGGTAGGATAAATCATGTCTGACTGATAACTCGACATGTGTAAATAAGATCATGCCTAACTGATAACACGACATGTGTAACATATATATTGTCTGACTGATAACACAACACGTGTAACTAAGATCATGTCTGTTTGATTGATAACACGACAAGTGTAACTTTGATCATGTCTGACTGATAACATCACATGTTTAACATATATATTGTCTGACTGATAACACGATATGTGTAACTAAAATCATGTCTGACTGATAACACAACATGTTTGATTTAGATCATGTCTGGCTGATAACACGACATGGGTAGGATAAATCATGTCTGACTGATAACAGGACATGTTTGATTTAGATCATGTCTGACTGATAACTCGACATGTGTAAATAAGATCTTGCCTAACTGATAACACGACATGTGTAAATAAGATCTTGCCTAACTGATAACACGACATGTGTAACATATATATTGTCTGACTGATAACACGACCTGTGTAACTAAGATCATGCCTGACTGTTAACACGACATGGGTAGCATAAATAATGTCTGACTGATAACACGGCATGTGTAACTAAGATCATGTCTGTTTGATTGATAACACGACAAGTGTAACTTTGATCATGTCTGACTGATAACATCACATGTGTAACATATATATTGTCTGACTGATAACACAACATGTGTAACTCAGATCATGTTTGACTGACAACACGATATGTGTAACTAAGATCATGCCTGACTGATAACTCGACATGTGTAAATAAGATCATGCCTAACTGATAACACGACATGTGTAACTCAGATCATGTTTGACTGACAACACGATATGTGTAACTAAAATCATGTCTGCCTGATAACACAACATGACTACCTTAAATCATTAATGACTGATAACACGACATGTGTAAATAAGATCATGCCTAACTGATAACACGACATGCGTAGCATAGATCATGTCTGACTGATAACATCACATGTGTAACATATATATTGTCTGACTGATAACACGACCTGTGTAGCATAGATCATGTCTGACTGATAACAAGCCATGTGTAACATAGATCATGCCTGACTGATAACTCGACATGTGTAAATAAGATCATGCCTAACTGATAACACAACATGTGTAACTAAGATCATGTCTGTCTTATTGATAACACGACAAGTGTAACTAAAATTATGTCTGACTGATAACACGACCTGTGTAGCATAGATCATTTCTGACTGATAACACGACATGGGTAACATACATCATGTCTGACTGATAACTCGACATGTGTAACTAAGATCATGTCTATAACACGACCTGTGTAACTAAGATCATGCCTAACTGATAACACAACAAGTGTACCTAAGATAATGTCTGGCTGATAACACGACATGTGTAACTAAGATCATGCCTAACTGATAACACGACATGTGTAGCATAGATCATGTCTGACTGATAACACAACAAGTGTAACTAAGATAATGTCTGACTGATAACACGACATGTGTAACATAGGTCATGTCTGACTGATAATACGACATGTGTAACTAAGATCATGTCTGACTGATAACACGACATGGGTAACATAGATCATGTCTGACTGATAACACAACAAGAGTAACTAAGATAATGTCTGACTGATAACACGACATGTGTTACTGGGATTATGCCTTACTGATAACACGAAATGGGTAACATAGATCATGTCTGATTGATAACACGACCTGTGTAACTAAGATCATGCCTAACTGATAACACAACATGTGTAACTAAGATCATGTCTGACTGATAACACCGCATATGTAACACAGATCATGTCCGACTGATAACACGACATGTGTAACATAGATCCTGTCTGACTGATAACACAACATGTGTAAATAAGAAAACGTCTGACTGATAACACGACATGTC